TGAGGCAGCTAAGCAGCTCCTGATGGTTGTTGCATCGGATCTTATATCCACTGATGAGATCTTTGTTAAGGTTGTATAACTCCCCATACCACTGCCGCATGCTTTGCCTGGACACAAAGGACAAAAGAAAGACATCATTATATGTACATATGTATATGTATATATGTATATGTATATGTATATGTATATGTATATGTATATATATGTATATATATGTATATATATATATATATATATATATATATATATATATATATATATGTATATATATATATATATATATATATATATATATATATATATATATATATATATATATATATATATATATATATATATATATATATATATATATATATATATATATATACATATATATATATATATATATATATATATATATATATATATATATATATATATATATATACATATAAATCGACAGAGCCACAACAGACTCGTAATCAGCATTTCAATATCACATTTTAATCCAAGTAAGCTACTCCTTCTCATCAAGAGAAATGATGAATTAGGGACAACCAAGGTATACTGCTCATGCTTATGCTCTCAAGGAATATAATCTACCATTAGACCTACAAAAAAGGAGGAAAGTATGACTTACATGTCTGACATAAGTCGAGCATCCTCTGCCCGAACAACTAAAGTACGGATAACACCTGAGTGGTCGGCCATTTCTGCTGACAGACGCTGACGTGTAGCATGGTATTCTTCTACACGCTCTAGAACTGATCCCAACTGCTCTAATTCTCCAGGGAAATCAGCTTCTACCTTTCAGTTTAAGAAAAAATTATTCACAATCAGTAAGACATATCTAATAAGATTTAGCATATATCACAATAGCTGCAACACAAAACACAGAGTCAATACATTTATATATTCAACCAACAGAATACATATAAAAGAAATAGAAGTGTTAATCATACTTGTAAATCTTCAAGATTCAGGTAATTTGCAAGGGCTTGTATGATGTCACCCGCGATGTCCATGTCATGTCCTAATCACTATATCGCACGCAGAAGAGACTTCAATGATGAGAGGTAAACTGGACCTCAAGGATAAGAATGAAACTTCTAGTCCTCCATTGCTATTGGCCTGCATGTCTTCAAGCAACAGGAAACTTGAATTAATCCACATTACAATCTGAGAAAGGTGAAGAAAAGAAATGCAAATGATTGCAAAAGTAATATGACAAAGATGATAAACATTCATCTGAATAATCTTCAAAGTCAGCTAAATGCTGCAACTTGAAGAGAGTATCCAATATGTAACAAATTTCTCATCATTCATTTGAATACTTACTCTTGCAACTCTTTCATTTAGCTTGAACTTGACAAACCCTTGAGGCTGGTTGACAGATGTCGTACAAAGAGCATACATAGAGAAGCGAGGAAGTTGACGAGTCAGTTCAAATACGTGGTAGTGAAGTGATCCCTTGTATCCAACCATAGTTTTAATGTGAAGATCCACTGGTACATCCTGTGTAATCAGTGGATTAAGTTACTATGTGCACTTGAAGCAGCTGAAAGTTACCCTAAAAAAATCATAGACTGTCATTTACCAGCTTCATTACACTACAAAGTTTCACACAACTATAATACAAATCATGGCAACTTTTAATATTACTAACCTTTGGTGGGTATAGAGGAACCCTTATATTGCTTGTCAGAGAATTTTCTCTAGGATGAAACACATGGCTTTCTCCCTCAAAGATGCCCTCAGCAAAAATTATGACAGCACGGATTACAGTATCATTTGTTGTTGCAAGAGCTATCTCCACGTGTGGCTGGTAAAGTCAATAAGAGGCTATTTAACTGATGATATAAATGACAGAGAATAAATCAAAGAGCAATTTTGCAACTGCAGTATATAGCACATTTGGATGAGAGGCAAGACCAAAACTTACTGGTTTACTGTTTTCTTCATTTCCCGTTAATTGCAAGACCAGTCTGCAGTTGCGTATTGGCCTAAAAGAGGCAGAAAAAGGGAAATATCATTCTACACACAAATAACGAATATATGTACATCAGCCTGCAATTCGGCTTTCAGATACTTATATCCTCTGGCAAAAGTGATTCTTGTCAGATACCTTTAACTTACTGGTGTCAGAATGGCTAGGATACATGCTACTGCATATTTTTGTTTACTGATTGTCATTTCACATAGATGAATCCACAAGTGCTTAATCACCAAGGAGTCAATTACCAGTCATACGTAGCTCAACTATTTACCCTTTTTCTTGATTTCCAGAAAGATTTTATTTTACTGCTATTAGTATAGCTAACAACATAATTATCCTAATGACAACAGCAATGTTAACCCAGGACTGCTAGGAAAATGTAGTGTTCACTGTAGTATTGTTCTGTGGAATGTTTCTACACAGAGATGGCTCCAAAAGTGATTAGACAGCGAGTGGTCAATTAGTCGACCTTATGACCTCACCTGATTTTACCTTTCTTTGAGATTTCAAGAAATATGTTTTATTTACAAATGCTGTCAATATTGATACTGGTATTACTGTTACAGACATTATATTTCTTATAATGTTATTGATATTTCTAACATCAATTTAACAGAAAATATTTCTGAAAATCCATGAAACAGGTAAACAGGTAAGACAGGTAGTACTTGTAATTGGCTAAATGGACTTGTGGAGCCATCTATGTGTAAAGAAGATGAACTAACTCAACTCATAGGTGTCATGACATGTATGCACATCCCTAGTGGCAGTGAATAAAAAAAAAAAAAAAAATCCTGGGTACTTGTGGAGCCATCTATGTGCAAACACATTTCACAAAAGAAAATGACAGAAGACAGTCTAGGAACCCAGCACCATTACATTAAGGTACAATTTTTGTATAATCTCTATTGCTGGGTTAATTGCTATAACAAAAAAGATATGAGCTTAAAAAAGGTACGAGTTTAAAGAGTATTCAACAAGAATCTATGCCTATTTCATTTGCATGTTACACAATGCAGTAGACATTGCAGAAAAGAAGCATCTAAGAAACAGGCCCAAGGCAACTTTTTTTCAGTTTTGCTCACAAACAAAATCAAGAAAATATGGGGATATATATATATATATTTTAAGGGAGTTAGTTTTTTATGTGTCCTAAATGTGATTATATATAACGTACTTAGGGAAATTTTACTATTTCAAAGATTTTTTTCCACCAAAGACTCTAACTCATACAACAATACTTTTAAAACTTTGCACATACTTTAAGCTAAAAAAGCTGATCACTCATATTTTAACATCTTTTTCCCAAACCCTCCAAATCTTTTATTTAGATGTTGCACTGAGAATGAAAATGGAAAGCCCAGTATCACATAAAGGGAATCACCTATCAAGATGAAAAAGAAAGAATGACACACATAATCAAAAGTTGAGGCTCTCTCTTCCTGATGACAAAAATTATTTTGCAGATAATTCAATGAGTAAAACAATCTAACCGTATGAAACTCAACCTACTGGGATAACTCCAACTTGGTCTCCTGCTGCTGACGGTTTGCCAAAGAGTACTTCCCCAGACGAGCCCATTCGCTGATTCTCCTCATAATTTTTCAGTTCCATCAATAAGTTGTGTCGGCGTTGGCTTAGCTCTCGGATGGTCTCTTGTTCAATGTTAACGTCCATGAGCGAATAGCGACTTTCAGGAGAAGGAACTTTGCATGAAAAAAGAAAATAATAATGAAAATAATAAGAGACATGATCAAATCTGTATATGGATTAAATGATAGAAAGAGAAGAAGAAAGAGAAAGAGAGAGAGAGAGGAGAAGAGAGAGAGAAGAGAGAGAGAGAGAGAGAGAGAGAGAGAGAGAGAGAGAGAGAGAGAGAGAGAGAGAGAGAGAGAGAGAGAGAGAGAGAGAGAGAGAGAGAGAGAGAGAGAGAGAGAGAGAGAGAGAGGGGGAGGAGAGAGGAGAGGAGGGGAGAGGAGGAGAGAGGAGGAGGGAGGAGAGAGAGAGAGGAGAGAGAGAGAAGAGAGAGAGAGAAGAGAGAGAGAGAGAGAGAGAGAGAGAGAGAGAGAGAGAGAGAGAGAGAGAGAGAGAGAGAGAGAGAGAGAGAGAAGAGAGAGAGAGAGAGGGGGGAGAGAATAGAAAGAGAGAGAGGGGAAGACAAATAGAGAGAGAGAGAGGGAGGGAGATAAAGAGTGAGAGAGAGAGAGAGAGAGGGAGGAGACAAAGAGAGAGGTAGACGGAGAGACAGATAGACAGAGAGGCACAGAGAGAGAGAAAGAATTAAATTTATTAAATCATACTTGTTCTTACTTTGTGTAAAATTTCTAGAGTGACTTACTTTACTATTTGCTACTAACCTTCACCATCAACTGAACAACAAATGAGCTGGTTTTTGCCATCCATACGGTAGTCACCTTGGACTATACCAGCAACTGTTCCTTGGAAATTATCCTGTAAAAATGTTCATTATTTGAATTTGTCAAAAGATAATCACTATCAGACAGGGAATATTTTTATCCATTATCTGCTCTGCCTTTCTCACTACAGTATTGTACACATCATCCCAAGAGAATTTGCACAATTTACAAAGTATTGGCACAAGACTCTAAAAATCTTGAAGAGTTCAGCTCAGTCTTTTTCTGAATATCACCTGGAAGCTAACAGAAGTTACAATGGTTGTTCACCAACATCTACAGCAATAATTACCGATTAAAGCAATAATGATTGCTATGATATGAAAATGTATATCTATCAAATTCTGTAGGAATCTCTAGTCAGAGACATCTCCAGCAACTGATTCTTGGTAAGATGCACAGACAACCCCGAGAAGGCCTTGTTCACCATACTGGGTAAGAAACCTAAACTTTGGACATTTTGAGGATCAGGGTCTGCATTCCAAAGTACATTACACTGCAAAACATCTAAATATTCACCCCCCCTCCTTTATGATAAATAGGGTATGTCTTCCCAGTAGTCATTGGTCTTTGTTTTACCTAAATATATATATATATAACATAGTAAGTACAAATATATATTTTTCATACTATCAGAAATGCAAAGTATATTATTTATACATTTACAACAAATTTTAAAATAAGGACATTAAACTGTCATAGAAATGAAAGGGGGTAGAACTTTTGGTTACAACTTCACAAGAGCTATGAGAGTTAGCTGAAGCCCCCAGGACTCTAAACATTTCTGACTTTCAAAATTGCCACTTTCCCATGCATATAAAATTATGAATCTCAAAACTCTTTTGCATTTATCCCAGTCACAACAAAAGCCCCCAGTGCCACATCAAAGGTGCATGAGGTGTCAGCTGCCTGAGGGAAAAAAATGAAGCACAGGAAACATAAACCTACCCCACTCTATGCTCTTGGATATTTCATTAAAAAAAAAAAAAAAGATGATAAGGCTTCAAGCCTACTTTTGAGGGGCAATTTATCTTCAACAAATGCAGAACGTGACAAACACACACCGTTTAACATACACAACTTGGAGGAGGCTCTACTACACATCACATAAAAATGTCATTTCGGGCATGAAGCATGGATTACCATGACATGATAAGGGTTAGAGGGAACTTGCATGTTATCTACTTTTCTGATTTCCAATAACCATTCTTTGTTTACAAGATCTATCAGAACTAGCGAACTGAAGGTTAATGCCATAATATAACATATCTATAATCAGTGAATTAAAGATATGCTGATGATTGCTACATTTTTGGACATTGGAAAATCATATTTCATTTACCAATCTACCATCCCATGGAAGTCCTGAGCATTCTCATGAATCCCCTACTATCTCATATATGTAATATGATATGAAGCAAACACATTTTACAGCTTACCTTAAAGACAACCTCTCCACTCCGATCATTTCTAGCATCTACCTTCCCATTACTCCATCCTGTAATTAACTCTGGAACACCATCCCCATCAATATCATAACTGTAGATAGCTATTGCCTGATTTTTGGACTGAAAAGAAATATCATATAATGAATTTCTATATCCATGGACATCAACTGAGTTATAGGTTTAAATTCATTTGACTGTGTCTGAATTTACTGTATTAACATACCATTAAACAGACCCACCTTTATCCTCCACCACCTTGATATCTTTTCATAAACTCCAACAGTTCCGTTGGCAAGCGCATATCCAAATCTGGATCCATGCATTGGGCATAAAGCTGTCACTGCCTCAGTTTCCGACATTTCAAAGAGAATCTCTTCACGCTTGAACACTCTTATGTCAAAGTCCTCAGAGCCCACCAAGAGCTGAAAGACAAATCACTTGAAATATTCTTTATGTTCACAATCATTCTATCTTCTCTTAAAGTATGAAATCTGACTTACGACATTTATTACAAATCAAACTTTTTTCAAAGAGAAGTAATAAAAACAGCAAAGGCCCATTGGTAAAAATGCATACAATACCTCATTTTCATCATCACCATCAAAGTCAGTCAGAGTGATCGAAGACACGTTGTCTCCCGTCACAGTCCAAAATGGATCATTACCATCACCATCAAAGCCATGGATGGAGCAGTTACCCCCAATAAGTGCCAATGGTAAAGGATTTCGCCCTAAATGTCCAATGGTAATGGCATTGGCTCCGTCAGAAACCTGGTGACCAAATAAGAAAAAAAAGTTAATAAATTTTTCATTTGTTATTAATACTTTTTCATAAAATATGTGAAAAAAAAAAATACTGTCTGGCCAATATAATTCTAAAAGGAAAAGGAGATGTCATTATGATAATAATAATATCATCATCAAGTAAATTATGAAAATATGTCTCATTACCCTTCGAAGAAATGCACAATGTGTGTATGGGACAAAATAAATTTTACATAATGAAGATATAATCTCAAACTAAGTGTACAGAACAACAGTATATACATATGATAATCATAACCTCCAAACAAACCCTTTTAGCACAAAAACAAATAGAAGTGAAAAATAATAATAGGACAATAGGAAATTCACAAACTGATGTTCCATAGAAAAATGGTGCTCAGAATTTCCGAGCTAGCAGGAGGAAAAGTTCCTACAAGTTTTTGTAATTATCAAAACAGCAAGAGAAGGAGAAATTCACAGCAGATGACCCTAAAGGGAAGGAAAGTGATTCAGCATTCCTAGTGTTCCACAATTAGGATCCTTCACAGGCTATTATATCATTTTTTAAGTTATGGCAGCCTTAACATTGAACGCATGGACAAATTGTGGTAAGTGTGGAATTCATGACATTTACAATGAGGTGGGAAGATGGAGGGGAAGTAACCCGAAAATCTTGATGTTATACATATATCTATACACTGAAAATGACTTAGGCATTTGTGCTTCAAGTCATATAAATTTTGTAAGAAAAGGTTGGAGGGAATTATTCTTAAAAAGTGCATTATCCCCCAATTTCTGTGGGAACCCCCTATCAAGATCCTCCTCATGTGATGCATAGGGGAATTCAAATTCCAGTGAATTAAACAAGACCTGAGAGAGAGACAGAGTGGTTCCTAGGTGTACTACAGTTTAAGATGGGATAACCCATTCCAGCATTCCAACAGACTTGTTGTGTAAGGATAGCATTTCTTCTACAAGACAGCTAGCTATACTGTGGGATGGGCAATGCTGCAAGCTGTTTGGTTTGCAGCTACAACACATCCCTTTGGTCCTCCATTCAAGTTAAACTGGAGACTTCATCTAGGCAATTGTTCTTTTCACCTAAGATCAAGCAGGCACTGTTTCATAAGAAGCTTTGGAGTTCTTCCCAGATCCAAGTATAAAAAATATCAAAAATGGAAATTAGACTTCTAAGTAAGAAGGGAGATCACCAGTCAGGTACAGAGAACTAGTATGGTAACAGTGAAAAAATATCTATACAAAGTATCTTTGTCATTAAGACCACTGATGGCTCATAAAACATTGATTTTTATATATCTAATGCAAAATAATTGTGGTTAAGCAACATAAGTTAACAGTGATGCCTGTGAATAAACAAAACATAATTGTCCTTATGACACATCATGGTCTAATCTTTGACTCAAGTCACCAAAATTTAATCATATGGTATCACTGAAATTGGATTTTTAACCAAACAAGAAAATCTGTGTGAAGAACACCATGGTCTAATCTTTGACTCAAGTCACCAACATTTAATCATATGGTATCACTGAAATTGGATTTTTAGCCACTGCATCTGCAACCAAATTGATTTTTTACCTTAATTTGATTTTTCACATTTAGCCAGCTTTTTTTGTACCAATGACTTACTAAATGTGAGGTTTTATTGTGTAAGTACATATGTGTGAGTAAATGCACGCAAATCCATATAGATATGTATATACATGTAAAAATATGTACATATAAGAAAACTTGAATACAAATAGTTTAAAGCAAGCAGAAGCCAAGTTTGCGCGACAGGTATGCTGCCAAGGATAGGAGTCACCTCTTCTCACAAACTTTTTAAGAAAGATCCTCTTTATTCTTATAATTTTTTTTTTTTTTTTTATAACTTGGAAACTAGCATATTCTCATATATTTATATTTGGAAGAGAAATATGATAATTAGATGATTGAGTTTCATAAATAAAACCATATCATAATATGAAATGTTTTCTCTCTAAACTACATTTCTAATTTTTTTTGTACTGAATAATGCCATAAGATTTTGGTTGTTCCATTGGAAAGTTTTTAAAAATCTGCAGACCTCATCCAGATTCCTGTACTTTCCTTTTCCTTTGTAATAATTGAAAATAAAATAAAAATCAGATTTCATTTGGTGGAAAAACACCTTTTAAAAGTCCCAAATATCTGTCTGTGTATTCTTGACATTTACTTTTTTTGCTGTATAATACATTATGCAGATTGACATACTATGTACACACAGACATATGAAAAAAATTGAAAAGACAGCTCTCGACCAAGGGCATCACCCCCCCCCCCCCCACCCATCCTTTAAGTACTCCACAAAAAATGCATATTACTAAAATGCATATAATATCCCAAACTTACAGAAACCTGTAAAACCTTTTTTGTTTTAGTGAAACAAACTAAAATATTTTTTCTAAAAATGTTCTGTGGAGATCTGAATTTCTAAAAAAAATCCCTTGCATGGGATGACCCTTTACAATTCTAATGAAAGAAGAGAGGCAAGACAACTGCCTTTCTCTAAGACCTGGCACCCAGCAATCTCTGGCCACTCAGCTTGACGTTGTGTTTGAACTGGAGGTTCCAATTCTTGCCATAGCAAGGGAAAAAGACAACCAAGAGCATGCAGTGGTACACCTGTGGCACTATAAACCATCAAGGCAATGATATAATACTACCCCAGTACAATGTTTTTGTTAAATAGAATTGCATCCAGTTTCTTCTAAACACTGCAACTATGTAACAATCATAAATCTCAGAAGGAGGTATTGGAAATTAGATAATACTTTTTACTATGGCTAACTGATGGTTCTACCATTATTCCCCTTCATTAGCAGTGATTATCTAAATAAGTTTAAGAACAGTTTGAAATGACAATGACAACTCAATGAAGTCTGCAATATTCACGATCTTGGCTAAAAATAAAAAATGGAGCAAATAAGCTAAAAACTTACATCCTTGTAGAAGACATCAGCATTGTTTTGGACATCATAGGCCAACACATTAGTAGGTGTTCCCACTACAAGAATGTCACCTGTCTTGCTCTGGGAAAGGTGTCCTGCAGTGACAGCTGATACTGTCTGGTTAATGTTAAGCAATGAAACTTCAGAGCTGCTCTGACTTATAGACATCCGACCCCCTGAGATGCCAAGCCGTTGATATGGATTATGTATAAACACCTGTAAAAAAATGTAAACTTGAATTAAATACTACACTACTTCATTTTCTAAATGTTTAAATGTTTAATGTTTGAAATAAATAAATGTGCTAGGCATCAAAGGTCATATAGCACTATGATAAAGTATTGTGTTGAAAAGGATAAAGAGGGACATTAAAAGGGATATAAGCAACAAATGAACAAATCAACCA